ACATGTCAGGAGTTGCAATTTAGCACAGAGTATTAAGTTATAGTACCAAATTTTAACATTGGTAAAGCGAAAGAAAATTAACGGAAAGGAGTGATGAAAAAAAAATTGTTCTACAGCAAGAAAATTTTATCATCAAATAACACAAAAATTGTATTGTACTGTATTATATTATTTCAAATTTCAACATATGTAAAATTTTTAAATATAATAAATATACATACTATTACAGATTTTAAAAAATTCTTTATTCTTTCGCATATTTCTCATTTGAGTGTATCTTTCTTAGTAAATTGCTATCGTTGCTTAAAATGTCATAAAACTTTTCGCAAGAATTTGTTAAATTATATTTCACACCTAATATGGCTTTCAAAGTCTCAACATTTAATTGTGATTTATTAAATGTCCACTTTTTATTTACGGTAGAGAAAACGTGTTTACCCCCGCATTTGTTCCCGGTAAGCACAGTCTTTCTTCCACAATTTATAATGCATTATTGTATGGAACATTGTTTGAAAATGATGAAATATTTCTAACCGTTTGTTTTCTGTTGAGATTTTTGCTGATGCCAAATATTTAATATTTTCCTTATCTATATATATTTTTAATAATGATTCCTCGTTAAAAAGACCATTTTCGAAACTATTTTCATCTGGAAAATGTTGATTAATGTGATCGAATGATTTTTGTACATCTTTCCAATTAAGTTCTTGTTTTAAAATAACTCAATAAAAATGTTCAATGCCATTGTAATGTACCGTCTACCTTTGTAAATAATCTAAGCAGTTACCGTATAAGTTTTTGACGTGATTCATGAAATTTGCGCGAAAGAAGAACTCCCGGCAAGAAAAAAAAAGAAGATAAAAGAAACCCGGCAAACACGTAACCAATGTGTTAGTGAGGTACAAACCCGCGACTTCCTTCTATTAAATAGTTTTAATTCACTGGACCACTGGTGGATATTAGGTTATTTCAACCATATATATACAAGGACAAACATATAGTTTAATCTTATAATCCTTTTTTTAATTTTCGTAATACAACAAATTATTGTATGAAGAAAAAAGTGCGTCTGATTCAACATAAACCACACATTATTATAATTATACGATATTTACAAAGAATAATTTTACATTAATACATTCGACAAACGATATAATATTAACAAATCGCTTTCGTAAAGAATCGTACATACTACAAATTTAATTACACGGAATGTGGCAAAGTTATCTTACGTTGGCAAAGATAATCAAATTTATGTAGTATATTCAATATTTTCATAATTATATCGTGTATTAATACATATTGTATGTCTATACGTTCTTGCTACTCACGCTGCACACATGAGCACAATACTATGATGTGAAGACTTAAGTGTTTTTAGCAGCCTTATACAAAAATTAAAATGATGTTTACATCTAATTTAAGAGCTTGTCTATAAAAGTACAATGTCAAATGTTTCCTGCTATTATTGATTAAGAATAAGAGTATAAGTCAAAGCTACGCTAATGATTGTAAGCACTAAGCTTGAATTAATTGTAAACATATTCCAAGCAATAAAGGTTGGTAAATCTTGCAAACATTCCACAGAGAATATAAATGCCTGTAATTTATCATTTTGTTCTTCAGTCGAGAGTGATCGAGTGTAGACTTCTCTGCCTATTATTCTTGCTGCTTCTGTCATTCTAGTAGAAGACAAGCAAATATCAGAAAATAAAACAAATGGAAAAACAGAAGTAGATAGGAATGTTATGAAATCTAATAAACTATACGAAGTAAATTGTGCAAAGAAACTATTCGAATTGAAGATAATGTTACCCGCTGTGACGGCCGTCCACAAAAGTAACGAAAAAGAATAGAATTCTTGCACTTTATGTGTCAAAGTCACTATTTTAGCGTATTGTTTAGATAAATTCGACAGTTTCAATGACAAATCATCGCCTGAAAAATCGCAATGAGAAACACTAATGAGTGCTGCTTCGATCTCGTTGCATATGGAAGAAAAGAATACGAACATCAAGTTTTGTGGCACCATCAAAAAAACTGCGAATATAAATTCACCCGTGTAAAAAATCATATCCGAATGGCTTCCTGAAATTTCTATACCGAATACTCTACATATTTTCCATTGAATATAAACCTCTTTTGTATATAAGCACAGAGTTGCAATAGAATATAATAATGAATTTAAAATAATTAATGAAATTTTAATATAATTTTTTAGTCTTATATTTGATTTTACATTCGAAATACGACTTAAAATTTTCATTTGAAGAAGTAATGTTTGTTTATTTTGGTGAAAGTTATAAAAAGAATATAAAGTAATTGCACCTGCTACAAAAAAATGCAATGAACTAACGAACATTATTAATTGGGAGTTTTCGTAGTAATGTATTAGTGAAAATAATAAAAAATAGACGTTATATATCGAACCCATTATAAAAACAAAAGTACTGTGAATAGTGAATTTCTTGTGATTAAATTTCATTCCCCAAATAGCCATAACTGTCATCAAAGGAATCCAATTTTTTAACTTCTGAGAGTGTTCATCTTCGGAATAGGGACGTATTTGTAGATTTCTCACTTTTGACATCGGCATTTTTGATTGAAGTACTTCTAATTCTATCAAATACCTGTGAATAAGAAGACGGAATATTATTCCCAAAGAAAACAAAACAATCAGCAACGAGATGTGTAACTGTCCCAACGAAAAGTTTAAAAAATTTGTGTGTTGCGTTTAAATAAAATCTGTTACGAGATATTATTTAAAAAATAACTTTTATATTATTAATAANGAAGATAATGTTACTCGCTGTGACCGCTGTCCACAGAAGTAACAAAAAACAATATAATTCTTGCACTTTATGTGTCAAAGTCACTATTTTAACCTCTTCTGTATAGAAGCACAAGTATGAAATAGAGTATAATAATTAATTTAAAATTATAAAATTTAAAAAATGTTTAAAATATTATATTTTGAATTTTTCGAATTTGGAACGAATTCTGTGAGATTGTGGACCTATTGGGTAGTTAAATTAATTAAATTAAGAATTAATACTGTACTCAGTTAATGCAGAAATGGAAAAGAACCCATTGTCTATTATCTCCACCTGGGATTTCCGTTCAAGTGTTATTCGATATCTAAGGACGCTGAAATAGCCGTACAGATCGACAATGTTTTCGAAGTATGGAGTTACTTTAAAACCTTAGACAAAACATTTGATTTTTAATGGTAGAAAGCTGTCAAATCGGATAAAAGTATAAGATTAGTCACAACACCTGCTAGGAAGTATCAATAAGTCGACTGAAGCGTTTGGTTCCTGACAGCTCATATTTGCCGAACCAGGAAACGGCATGAACTTACACCATATTAAGTTAAAGTTAACTGACTTTTCTCCCACGCTCAAGGAAAGATAAATGTAGCTCAAACTCAAACCTCCAGGAAGATACTCTCCTATAAGCCATAGAGCAAGGCTTGTCAATTAATCGTCTCGCCTCACCCGCTCCCGTTTCCCGTCTCTCTGCCAGCATGATCCTGGAGCGTGTCGCGAACTTCACAAGAGAGACTTTTTTTATACTCTTTCCGCCCTGTGAGCACTCAGAGAGCCTGTTATAGCAGGCGCAATGTGGGTTTGGCCAGGCCCACAATGGGGCGACCGGGTAGTGAGAGACATGGCTCGACATATTTGAATGGACCACTCCCCGAAAAATTCCTCGGGATTCCTTGACCCGTATGGATTCGATTTCGGGTTTCCTAGAGCGGTAGGCTGCCACCGTGACTGCTCGGCCATCCGGCCCTCACAAAAGAGACTGTCTACAGACGTCCCTCCATACTCTGACACGAAAGGAAAAACTACTACACTCACTTCTACTGACTGCCCATTTTAGAGCTTCTCGCTAACTTCCCATAAAACGGAATTTGAAAACATCGGTCTAAAAGGTATATTACTTAAGAAAATGTAAACTCTCTCTCTCGATCAATTAGCCTATAAAGACGTAGATATAAGGCTTTAAATCCTATACTAGTGGTGATGTACTGTACTTACATCGTTTTCAAATATTTATTGTAGTTGTTTTAATTTTAAAATGTTTCACTCACCTCTGNATTTTCCATTTCGATTATATTATATGAATACGGTCAAATTTTTGAAAAATATTTA